GGGCAACTACCGATGCTGAGCATTCAAAAATCAAGGAAGCGATCAAATGCATGTCTGGTCCAAGTCTAGGGCACGGTGCCAAGGCGACGCCCGCAAGGTTTAAGCATCTTTCTACGGAGAGAGCTGACAGTGCGCGATTCGCAAGCAATGGCGTCCAAAAGAGTGGCGCGAGTAAAATACACGTCTCCGCTGGCTATTAGAGTACACTGCAAGAGGTTTCCAAAACATAAGCTGTGTGGGTGGTGCTGACGATAGACTCTTGGCGTGTCAGTTTTTGGAATGCCGCCAAGCGATGCCCAGACGCACTTGAAGCAAATACAGGTACGGTGGCAAAGATTAGTGGCAACAGCCCACAGCTTGGCAAAAAGGGGCTGGAAGTCATACAGTGATGCTGCATTATTTGGGCTCCGGTCGCGATGCAAAGGTAATTCTATGATGACGGTGGTGGTAGTGGTTCATGGTGAGCCGTGTATAAGTCGCTGTTTGGCGTTGAAATAAGGTCGTCCGGGAACATCGGTTATGCTCGGGGGCGTTTATCTCCGCGGAGAATAGCAAGAGGCAGGAAAGACAAAATACATGGTCACTACAATGTGCGGCAATGTTTACTAGCAAGCCTTCACGTTACCAAGCATTCAGTACCAAAATTCGGTAACCTCTCTGCCAGGCCCTGCCCCAGGTTCCGCCACTGAGGTGAGCATGAGCTACTTCTAAGCGAGTTCACAGATACAACTTCCGAGATGCATGTGTTTTAGCAAGACGTCGGTATTGATACAAGAGCGTCAACCTTGGTCGACGAAGGAGAGGGATGGCTAGGACAATGGGCTAGTGGGCGCTGGGTCGTGGGCCGACGACGGGGTAATTTTTTTTTTCTGCATCCTCGCTGGCCGTAATTGCAGGCTCAGCGAGCGACGAGCACGAGCGACTTCCCTGGCGATATTGCCCCAGCGCCCCTTAGAAGGCCAAGCGGAACGGGCGTGCGTAATGTTCTGGCTGCGCGTCCTTGCGTAAATAGTGCGATGAGTGCCTGAACTGAAACGTCGTGTCCCGCCAACCAGGTCCAAAAAAATTTAAGCATAAAGCGAAGCGAAGATCCATGACACGTGGATCAGGCCAGCCGAGGAACACGGGAAGCATGAGCCAATCTAGCTCATCTAGCAGAGTCGCATTGCTACTCTGTAGCATTCAAACCTGACTCACTACCTAAGAAACAGATCAACTGTGGATTAGGATTAAGCCATCGTTACATTTTGATCAGTCCTGTTCAGTGAGTTACCCTTGAAACCTTGAGCAGCTAACCTTTCACGATGTCCACAACAAGCGGAAACACCACCAACCCTGCGGCTGTGATTGCAGACCTCAACACGAAGGTTGAGTATCTCAACGCACGGCTGGAAGAGATGAAACTCCAGAAGGGAGAAACATCGGAGAAGAAAGTCGCGATACCCAAGTTTCCTAAACCTGACACGTTTGACGGAACGAAGGGGGATGTTCGGACCTTTCTTACCCAGGCCAAAGCCTATTTGAAGATCAATGACTCCATTGACGAGGAGAGTACCAAAATCCTCTGCATTGGAAATCTCCTTACGGGCAAGGCACTGGAATGGTGGGAGCCAACTCTCAGAGACTACCTTAACAACAAGGAGCCTGATGACGATACCACTCGCATCTTCAAGAAATACAAATACTTTGAAGACGCTCTACAGACCGCATTTGGCGACCCAGATGAGATGCGAACCGCGACGCGCAAGCTCAAATCCTTGAGACAGACAGGGTCTGCTCAACACTACGCACGCGAATTCCGACGTATCGCCAACCGCATCGATTGGGATGACGACAGCCAAATGGAACTCTTCTATGATGGACTCAGAGAGGACGTGAAAGATGAAATCGCTAAAGAAGATCGACCTGGCGAGTTCAACAAATTTGTCGAGAGGATCATCAAGATCGACAATCGACTCTACGCCAGACGACTTGAACGTGGTGGAAGGGGCACGAGCTACCGAAGTAACCCCCCACGACGTAACCAGGCGAACACGGGAAAACGCCGAAACGGATCCACGGCCTACGGAACTCACCCAGGCCCGATGGAACTCGACGCCACCGGAAAAGAAAAGGGAAAAAAATGCTATAACTGTGGGAAGGCTGGACACTTCGCGAACAAGTGCAGAGCACCCAAGAAACAGTGGAAGCCAGTTGCTGAGGGAAAGGGAGTCAACGCGGCTTATCGCGAGGATCTACCCGTCCGAAACATCAGCATGGTGAATAGCGAAGAATACTTCTCGGATACCGACCGATTTATGAATTACGATGAACCAACATCCGATGAAGACTGGGACTTTGGAACTCAACCTATCCCAGATGAGGAAGAAGACCTTAAGGCAATCAGCCAGGATACTGAGGAAACCATTGATGTGGTTCCTGAGACACCTCCGGAGGAGATCCGTGCGAATTACAACCCCAGACTAGTCAGTGCCTTATCGGCTGGTCCAGGCGACCCTGAACCAGTGGGTGTGAGAATTCACGGAACCGACGTCTCCCATCCGGCAATTCTCAAATGGAAATTCAGAGAAGCAGCGAAAGGAGCAAGTCTTGGAGTCTATGCCTCCATGGCACAGTACCCAGTACTTGTAACAGGACACCCGGACCATGCGAAAGTTTCATGGGCATCCTGTTCCTTCGACGACTGTGAAACACACCTCTGGAAGAAACTCGAATACCAATTCTTTCCCAAATTCAACCCCGACACAGGATATGGTCCGTTCTTGGAAACAGACCTACGAGACTGGAAAATTCGGAGGAGATACCCAAACCATTTGGACTTGAAGAAAAACAAGACACACTATGTTGAGGACGAAAACGCCTACACTATCCGCGCTTTACCGCTAAGACCTGCGGGAGGAGGAAACAGTGTACCTGCGAGCAGTTCGCTTAGACCGAACTCGATCGACATAGATGGTAGATCAGATGATCACCAAGAGAGCTCCAACGCCAAGGTGGCGATCAACGCAATCCATTCAACCTCAGCCATCGATTGAGTGAGTTGGCTGCTTAATAAGCTTTTCCTCCGTTGAGTTGATCAACTTCGGCCCTATGTTGAGTTGGTTGACGTTGCGTTGATGGTGGACGAGCCCCCCTGTCCCGCGCCTGCTACCTAACCCACAATATGGGAATCCGACTCAACGGCAACGAATTGCTAGTCTCATCATGCCCCTTCCTCCCGCATTTGCATTGGCAAATCGCAATCGTGCTTGCCTCTAACTGACTCCGTAGAGGCGTCACTATGCGACCTGCCGCCGAGAATAACCTCTGCATTCTGCGCTCATCGCCTGCCCGTCATGAAGTCCATCGCCATTCGCGATAGTCGGATGATTAGAATGAGGTTGAAGGCATTTGTGATCGTCTGGTATCCCGTGGACGGTTTCTTTCGAGTCTTTGGCGCAAACCGTTTTCCAGAATTATCTAGAATTTTGTGGTGGTCCCGGAGATGCCGCTCAGCATTGTGGGTGCCAATGGAAATGACGTTGCTGGCCTTCGGCCGATTCCGTTCGATGCACACTCTGCAGACCCATCGCCAATCTGAGCCTCTCTCGATGTCGAAGCCATATGTCCAAGCCCATGACTTTTGTATCATTGCTTCGTTGAGACCACGTATAGCCACGGAAGTTTCGGAACAGCCGATCTTCGTCTCGTCGACCGGTGCGAGCCTCAGCCGGTGTGGACGGCCAGGTGTGGATGGAGCTGGTGTCAAGGGACCCGGGGTGACAGGCGAAGGCGATACGGAATTCGTAGCCCCAAAGTCTGAACTTTGTGACATATTGAGCGAAGTGACGGGCCGAAGCAGTAAATCGAGGATGTGTCAAGCTGACTTTAGTGTCGGAACGCTAGCTGGCTTACACGCGAATTACGTCAGACGCGTTAAGCAACAGAACTATTTACGTGCCATTGCCATTGCGGTACCTCCGGTTGTGGTAAAATCAGGTACAAATACAAGTATCGTTTTGCAGGCGGGGCCATAGGCTGACCTACCCGGCACAAGATATCGGCAACCTTGGCGACGACACCTAATCAACCATTATCAACGCAACCAACTCAATATCGTGGTGAAGTTGAGTTGATTGATTACTAAGAATAGGTTCCGTTGAGTTGAGTTGGGTTGATTGACATCAACCTGGTTGACAACCTGGTGAATGACGTTGCGTTGATCGCCACCCTGCCTTGGCGTCTCC